AAAAAGAAGGGAGAGGGAGGGGGGGATTGGAAGAGAGAAGAGAGGAGGTTGCATCGAGAGAGAAAAAAAACAGAACAGAGATGGAGGGAATGAAAGGACGAGAGAGAAAATGAGAACTTTAGGCTATACCTGTTTTACACGTTTTATTTGCGTGCTCAAATTTACATGAACGTGCCTAGTGCGTCACAAACAAGATAATGATTTGTGCTGAGTACAGATAAGATGCTATGTCAGGTGATACATTTCACAGGCCATTTCTAAAGGTTCGTCGATCATGTTTCCATAGTTATAGTTTAGATTGAAGCTTAAAAAAGAGTAATCAATGATGAATTCGAATCAAGATTTTCATCTTTAAACATAATGATCTCAACATCCTGTCACCTTAGATCGTACGGTGTGAAGTGACATCCGGACGAATGTTCTTGGCATTTTACAGTGACGCAGTATATTATTTTTCTTGTTATTTCTCTATATTATAGACAAGTCCAATGTCGACCTATTATATTTTTATCCCACCTTTTTACCCCCACCTTCCCCATAGCATGTTTATTCTTTTACCTTCAATACGCGTTTTCGTGTCATTTTCTTCAATTTCCCAAGTAATTTTAACTCTCTTCATCTCTCACTTTTCACCCTTTTTTTATGTTGTGACTGTGATGGTAGAGGTGATAATGAAGTGTGTTGTTGTTGTTGTTGATGATGAAGGTGATATTGATGACGATGACGATGATTGTGGTGATGATGATGGTGATAATGGGGATGGTGGTGGTGACGAGGATGGTAATGAAAATAGGTGATGATGAAAATGATTAGGATGACTGTGAAAGGGGAAGCAGTAATGATATATCTTTTTAATGGGACATCAAACATTTACATCCGAAATTTGAAGATGCCCCGTTTGAAAAGACCCCCACCCCGGCTTTCCCTGTTGAAAAATAACATGCCACCTGTTCCGTCTCTGCGTTTAATTTGCACAGAGTAGATTACAGAATCATTCAGGTGACATTGATAATGACAGAGTAGAATGAGACTGCAGTAATTAGGGTTGAATAAGTAAATGTAAACAAAGAATATAGCTATGAAATAGACATACATAATGGTAGCATGTTTAACTATTCTGTGTATTCATGGTATTGATAAAGTACCTCTCAAACCTCCCTTTTTCATACATGATACAGTATCAACACGTACCATCCAATTAGCTCAATTTATTAACATTTTTATGACATACTAATTTATTTGATATGTGAATTACATAAAATGAACCACGGTTTCCATCATGAAACAGTTCTGAAACGAAAACATTATTTTCGTGATTCAAATTATCATTGATCTCTCGTTTTCATTATGTTTATGATTCTATGGATAAAAACAATTCTTTAGAAATAGGAAGCATTGAATCTAGCTTTAATATCAACGATATGTAACAAGATTAACGAACTTTAAGAAAGAATATGCGTAACACTAACAGGGCGTTATATATATTACAACCAGCACAAGTTATTAACTTGGATGTAACGCACATTGTATCCGGACACCTATCCCCTGGACAACCATCCCCGGATATTAACCCCTAGGGTATCCACCCTCTAAGACAACTACCCCCTAGGTCAACCACCTCTAGGATGACAACCCCCTAGGACAATTACCCCTGGACAACTACTCCAAAACAACTACCCCTAGGACAACCCGTCTCTAGGACAACTACCCCGGGATAACTAACCCTCACGCGAATATCCCTAGGATAACCATCCTTCAGGACTAGTACCCCCAGACAACTACTCTCTAGGGTAACCGCCACCTAGGACATAAACCTCCGTGACATCTACAACGTATGGTAACTACCACCAAACCACCCCCGGACAATAACCACTTAGGGTAATTATCAATCGGGGGTAGTTGTCCGAGAGGGTGGTTATTCTAGGTGGTAGTTGTCTGGGGATAGATGCCCAGGGTAGTTGTCCTAGGGGTAGTTGTCCCAGGGGGTAGTTAGCTAGGGGTCATCACCCTAGATGGTAATTGTCCCGGGGGGATTCGTCCTAGAGGGTTGTTGCCCTATGGGTTAGTTGTCTTAGGGGGTAGTTATCCTAGAGGGTGGTTATCCTAGGGGGTGGTTGTCCAGGGGTAGGTGTCCTCGAACCATGATGTAATGTATAGTCCGAATATGATTAAGCATAAATCTCCTCCGTCATATCTTGGGAGCAACATAGCCCTGAGTGCATATTGATGGCCTGATGTCCTCATTCTTTCTTTCTTTCTTCTTTCTCTTTTTCTTTTCCAACAGCAGGTCATATAAAGAAATGTTTCGTTTCAATACCTCAAAAGCTTTCTGCATCATGAAAAACTATTTATGGTAGTTTCTCTTTCGCTCTTTTTCCTCCTCTCTCCCTCTCTGTCTCTATCTTTATCTCTACCTCAGCTCTCTCTCACTCACTCCTTCGTTGCTTTTGTTCTAAAAAGACAGTAAGTTTATTGTTTGGTGGAGCATTAATGTGGAGGGGTTTGAGAAACAGGGGAATAAAAAAGAAATAGAAGAGAGAGAGAGAGAGAGAGAAGAGAGAGATCTAAAGAAATAAAAAAAAAAAAGGGGGGGGGGGGAAGGGAAGCATGGAAGGAGAGAGGAGAGGAGGTTGCATCTAGAGAGAAAAAACAGGACAGAGATGGAGGGAATGAAAGGACGAGAGAGAAAGTAGGAACTTTAGGCCAACCTGTTTTACACTTTTTATTTGCGTGCTCAAATTACCTGAATGTGTCTAGTGCGTCACAAACAAGATAATAATTTGTGCTGAGTACAGATAAGATGCTATGTCAGGTGTTGCATTTCACAGGCCATTTCTATCGGTTCGTCGATCATGTTTCCATAGTTCTAGTTTAAATTGAAGCTTTAACTGCTTTAATTCTGTAAGGAATTTATAGAATAATTAAAAAAAAGAGTAATCAATGATGAATTCGAATCAAGATGTTCATCGATATTAGATCGTACGTTGTGGAGTGGCATTCGGACGAATGTTCTTGGCATTTTACAGTGACGCAGTATATTATTTTTCTTGTTATTTCTCTATATTATGGACAAGTCCAATGTCGACCTATTATTTTTTTATCCCACCTTTTTACCCCCACCTTCCCCATAACATGTTTATTCTTTTATCTTCAATACGCGTTTTCGTGTCATTTTCTTCAATTTCCCAAGTAATTTTAACTCTTTTCATCTCTCACTTTTCACCCTTTTTTGATGTTGTGACTGTGATGGTAGAGGTGATAATGAAGTGTGTTGTTGTTGATGATGATGAAGATGATATTGATGACGATGACGATGATTGTGGTGATGATGGTGGTGATAATGGGGATGGTGGTGGTGACGAGGATGGTAATGAAAATAGGTGATGATGAAAATGATTAGGATGACTGTGGAAGAGGGAACCGTAATGATATATCTGTACAATGGGTCATCAAACTTTTACATCAACAAATTTGATGATGGTCCGTTTGAAAAGACACCACCTCCTCCTCCCCGGCTTTCCCGGTTGAAAAAGTGCAAAGTGTACCGTCTCTGCGTTCCTATAGCGAGTATGTGTATAGAGTAGATAGTAAGAGGGGAATAATATATTGATATCTTGGATAACCAAAGTCCATTTGCCTCCAATGGGAATTTTTTCTTCTAAGCAACAGATTATTGTATTAGGTATACCGCTCGAGATGTACGAATTGAGATTTACCGGGGATATATGTCTGAGGGCAAAGTTGTCCAGTTTCAACCAGCTGCCCCCTTCTCCCCCCCTCCCACCTCATTCCCTCGCATTTTGGTGATTATTGGCTCAATTTACATGCAGATTTGGAATGAAAAGGGCTCTGCATGTTCATGCAAAACATTTAATTGAACTAACCAGAAATATCTCTACATAGAATTGTAAACTTTTCAGGTTTTGATACTACAATTTTCTTTCATCACTTGCTGTTGCAGAAGAAAGAGAGAAAAAGAAAAAAAGTGAGAAAGAAGAAAGAAAGAGAGAAAGAAAGAAATGGCGACATCAAGCGATCCATATGGACTTAGGTATGATGCTTTCAATACATGACGGAGGAGATAGTAATTTATGCTGAATCACATTCGGACTATACATTACATGATTGCACGTAGGCCTACTATTTGCGTACCCCAACAACATAAACGTATAGTGCGTTACACCCAAGATAATAATTTGTGCTGATTGTGATATACAAAACGCCCTGCATGTCAGGTGTTATCACGAAATTTGACATTTTGTTCTGTCGGGGGGGGGGGGGGGGGGTAAGGTCATCTCTTTTAGGTCAGCCATTGGCAGAATTTTTTTTTAATTTTTTTTTTTTCAATAAAAAAAAAAATCACAAAGGGGGGGGGGGGGGTTTGCTCCAAAATACACACGTACAAACAAAACTGAAGGGAGGGGTTCAACCCCAAAACACCCCCTGCGTACGCGCCTGACCACCACCATGCATCGCCATTACTTTTAGCACCACAACCACCTCCAACAACACCACCGCCATCATTACCATCATCTGATCACCATCTTATCATCATCATCATCATCATTATCATCACAATTCACATCTACTACCGATTCGACGCATCAATTTCGACGTGGCACGTGGCAACAAGGAGCAGAGGGCAAGAGGAATGGAACATTTTTAGACTTAGAGATATTCCTGAATGGTACGAGAAGGAAAGTTTGTTGTCCTCAATAGTTTGAGCGTGAGAAATTGAGAAGATGTTATGAAAACAAACATATCAATCATATAAATCTAATAGCCAGCCACGAGACGATGTGCGACTTTATATTATTGTAACCGAAAATAACTCCATGTCAATAACGGCCCTTTTTATTCAACTGTACATTATGGTGCAATATCAAATCTAATTGATAACAAAAGTGTGCAAAGATGGACAGGTGTCGATGTCCCATAGGGTTATGTCTATGGAGGCATCCTCTATAAGTAGAGGACGATTCTAGCAGATCCAACCAAGTTCGTCACATCTCTTCAGAAGTAAGGTAAGAGCTGACAAGACATCAGAAGGAACACCACACACCTACACCATCCTACTCGACAAGATTTGGGAAGACCTGAGCATTTGAAACGGTGAAATTTTCCTGATTGAAGTTCCGAAAAGTCACCGCGATAGTGAAATCGAAATAGCATTGTAAATATTATTGTAGACCTTTCAGTCAGATTAAAAAAGAAAAGAAAATGGCTCAAGAATGACGACTGTCTCGAGTCAAATCCAATTGATTACGTCCTCAAATTGGAAACCTGACTTACATAATTTTGAAATATTGATTTCACTATTCATATGACTTTCCAGAACTTCAACTAAGCGAATTTCACATTTTCATGTTTTAAAATAATTATCTAAAGTTTTCTCAAATCCAGTCGCCATGTACAGTGTGAGGTGACCTCCGGACGATTGTTCTTCGCATTTTGCAGTGAGGCAGTATATTCATTTCTCAATATCATTTATTGTTATTTCTCTATATTGTGGACAAGTCCAATGTCCTCTTATTTGGTCATTTGTTCTCCTATATCTTACCGAGTATTCTGGAATATAGAACATAAATTGACTTCAAAAAATATAATTGATCTTGATGTTTAGTCTGATTCAAATTTGAGTCAGACTAGCAACATTATTCGTCGAATGTTCATTTCAATTTCGTTTTTATAAACTTCATCTTTCTTGTATTTTGTTGTGTTGAAATTAAATTAATCTAGACAAACCACTAGACCAAGATGCAAGCTCTCCTTGTTCTCCTCTTCGCTGCCGTGGCTCAGAGCCGCATTGCGCCTCTCTACCGAGTTGAGCCCAACATTCCTGGCCAGTACATCGTTGTCCTTGAGGTATTTTTTGTCAGATTCATACAAGGGTTAGGTTATTGATGATAGTACAATTTAGGGTTTCTTGCAATATTCATAGATAAAGAGATTTTAGGCTTCAAAATAATACAGCTCAGAAATAATAGACCTGGCCTTCCCACCGTACAAATAGAGGACCTATTAAAGTGCTAACTTCATAGTCGCTCGTCATCCATGTTACTGGTTCCAAACAATCAGAGTCTGCGCATGAAGTCCACCGCGAAATCATTCAAGAAACGGGCTGGAGAAGGGCAAATTCAGTGTTTGGGGCTAGTGTGATTACCATGCCATTGTTTAGCACAAAATTGTTTGAAACCAGCAACATTGACAACTTAGCCAGAATAAAGTCAGACTTCGGTACTGTATTTTTTGCTGACGTATAATAGACCTCTTTACCAATGTATTTCAATTCCTGCAAGTTTCTCTCCTGATACCCTGGTTATCAACCATTTAATGTCCTGCTATGGATTATGTCTATATAGATGGAATCCACTTTGTATACATTGGTTGCTAATATGTCGGGCAAGCCTTTACCAAGGTTTATTAGTTGTCGAGAGAAACTTTTGCTCAAATCTTATTCACAAAATCAGTAAACAGTTTTATTTTCAAAGCTAACTTTCATAGCTGATTTAGGGTCGCTTTGTTCATAAATATTATCATTGTTATACTTTTGTTTGCAGGATGGCATCAATGCCGGTAGATTCGCTGCCTCCATGCAGGGAGGGATCGTCCGCAAGACCCTCACCGGCCTCATCAATGGACTCGTTCTCACCCTCGATGGCGATTTGCTTGAACAGGTGAGCACAACAATATACTAGAAATTTTGTATGACCATCTTGATTATGAATGATAGTTCACCTATTATGTGCACGCGTGTGTGCGTGTGCGTGAATGTGTGTGTGTGCGTGTGTGTGCATGTGTACGTGTGTGTATTGATATAAACATAATACAGTCAAATCTGCCTGAGTGCATGGCCAACAATTAAAGAGAATTACAAGACAACGATCCTCTCATTCAGTGTTAAAGTTTTTGTTTCCATTAGGATACCCTCGGTCGTGTCCGCGTATGATTCTAACGTTTTCAACCATATTTATTGTGCCACCCAAATTGAGCACTAGTGGATTTTGCCATGCCATTTTCAAAACCATATTGCTTGGTGAACCGTGCACGGATTAATGCATCAATGTATCATTTTAAAGCATATTGCTTTGTATATAAATACCTTTTGAAATGTGTAACAGTCTAATGACAAACAATCCGAACACTATTCTTATAGGCAACAGGTGGTTTATTAAAAGTTCTTGAGATCCGTTTTCTTCTTGATATATCAGCTACATCCCGGGCTCAGTTTTGACAAATTGATACCATCATCGTTGTTCTATCAAATTTTGAATTCACAACATAGTATATAATTTTGTTTAATGCTCACTATTCATGAACAAATCATTTATGTTCAAAATTTGGCTCCAATCCGGTCAGCTTTAACAATGTATGAAAATGTAAGCTTTCAACTAATTAAATTTCCTATCCGTCCTTTACTTAACTCCACATGATTGTTATAATCTATCATAGTCATTAATTTCCAACAAATTATCTCCTCATGTTATAAATTTACTTTGTTCCCTTGATTAATGAGATGTATTCATAAATATATATCTATTTATGATGCGTGTTTATATCTTGTTAAAGATTTTTTTTGATGTAATCACGCCTTGTGTTTTACTTTTTTTCACTGAAAATGATTTGGGTCTATAGGTACGTGGTCTGACTGGTATCAGTTACGTTGAGGAAGATGGCCTGGCTACTGTACTTGGTAGCCGAGACGCTGCTAGTTACTATGGGCTTGATCGTATCGATCAGCGTAATCTACCTCTTGATGGCACAATCAACTTCAGCGGTAAGCAGAATCGATAGGAGTAATGCGAAAACATTGTCAGCCCATGATACCGACCGGAGAGAAACAGAAAGTTTTTATTCTCTTCCAAAAGATGTCGGTCTCACGGGCTGTTGATTTCACGGGCTGCCGGTCTTGTGGGCTGTGGGCTGGGACCGATCCACGAGATGAGCCATATAGAGTACCCAAGTGCTAACCTCATATTTGCTCGTCGTCCAGGCTACTGGTTCCAAACAACAGAGCCTGTACATAAGGTTCACCACGAATTTATCATTTAAAGGAATAGTTGTGTTTTGGTATGGAGAGAACAGTTTTGGTCAAAATAAGTATTAGTAACCAAAGCCTGAATCATTACATTACATTACAATACATACAAATTAATAGTTATAACTGCCAGTTAGCCAGACGACAATCATATTGTGCCACACCGCCTCCTTTTAATAACGTAATTCAATAAAGCGAATGGAGGCTTCCTTGACAGTGCGACACTTGGCATTGTTCGGTTTTTTTTCTTCTTATTCCTCGAATCTATATTCATTTTGCTGACCCGTTTTGTAAAACAAATAATTCATGATTTCGAACTCGTGCATTAGTGGTATGCATTGCACTCGATTAAGGCACAATGAGCCGGATAATGAACTCGACAAGCCTCGTTAATCATCCGATTGTGACTTAACCTGCTTCCAGTACATATTCAGCGATGTACTAGCCAGTGGCGGATCCAGGGGGGGGGGGGGGGGGGCCGGGGGGCCCGGCCCCCCCCCCCCTTGAGAAAAAAATCAAGTAAAATCACGTAATTTTTACCTTTTTTTGGGGGGTGCAAATTGAATTTTTTTTTGAGGATCAAAAAAAAAATATGTGCTCACTACCCCCCCCCCCCCCCCCGACTGAGCGAATTTTTGGCCGGCGCGTTTTTCAAATTTTCGGGAGCAAAAAAAAAAAAAAAAAAATTGTGCTCTGTACCCCCCCCCCCCCCCCCCCCCCCCCCCCCCCCCCCCCCCCCCCCCCCCCACTGAGCGACTTTTCGGCCGGCGCGATTTTCAAATTTTCGGGAGCAAAAAAAAAAAAAGTTGGGCCCCCTCCCCTAAGAAATCCTGGATCCGCGCCTGGCACTAGCAAGCAGCTCTTTATCCGCTAGCCCTCGAGATTTAAAAAAAAAATTAAGGTTATTAATACACTTAGTTTAAGTCGGGCCAATGGGGAGGCGCTCATTTTCCCGAAGGTTCATTATTTCAAACCACAAACCTCCCATACTCGGGGTTCATGATTCCGAACATCCGTTGCGTTATTCTAAAGGTTCGTTTATCCCACGTTTCGTAATTCCGACAAATAGGGTTCATCATTCGGAAAATCAAATAGGATTCGTTTTTCCACAGGTTCGTAATTCTGAAAAACGGTTTAGGGCTCTATGTCATTTTATGAATTCTAAAACCTTCCAAATTATTTCGGAATTATGAACCTTATTCCATTTTGATTTTTGGAAATACGAATCTTCGGAATTGTGAACCTTCGGAAAAACGACACTTAACCTTCACATATAATCTCTCGTGCAACGAATATTTCAATGATTGCCATCCATCCACTACAGGTACGGGTTCAGGGGCAAATGTTTTCGTCATCGATACCGGAATCACTTACTCGCATGAGGACTTCAGTAATAATCGTGCCAATCAATTCTACGATTACGAAAATGGAGATGTAGGTTACTTATCTCATTTTTCTATTCCAATAAAGTTCCTACCCAAACATATTTTCTTTAGAGACATTAGCCTACACTGTTTTATTCAAAACTGGCATTGGAAGAAAAAAAAAACGTTGTTGCCAATTTGAAGAACAATGATTAATTGTGATCTTTGAACATAAATCATGTCCTGATCGATGTGTTAAGAAAACCAGAGAGAATGAGTAAAAAAATTATTTAATAGTGAAAGTTTGATGGTATTCGATGAGATAAATTAGGTATGATTTTTTAATTGTGCCATCAATTAAGCACACATTGGCAGTCGATATGTGGCGTAACTTTTAAGCAGGTAGCGTATTCAGTTGCAAAGCTGACCGTAGTATGAATAAACATAACATAAACTGAATCTACTACTTTTATATATATATATATATATATATATATATATATATATATATATATATATATATATCTCTATCTTTCTTTCTCGCTTTCTTTTATTGTCAAATATTATAAGGGTGCTGATTGTCATGGTCACGGAACTCACTGTGCCGGAACAGTCGGAGGAACATATAGTGGTGTTGCCACTAATACCAACATCTACAACGTTCGTGTGATGTCCTGCACAGGATCTGGTTCTTATTCCAACATCATAGCTGGTAGGCTTATACATCGTAACCCATCTTAAACAATAATATTTGAAGTATCAAATGGAATTCTTTGCTCACCATATTCCAATCAGTCATAATAGGGATTAGTAACAATGATAATAATTAAATTAATAATGCTATTAATAATGAGAATGATAACATAACAATAATAATATAGCGACAATCTTAATCATTCTACAACTACCACTTATTATGATAATAACAATACTGATGATAATAATATTAGCGACAAAAATACTAATATTAATAATAACAATAATGATAATAGTAACAGAAATATTTGATAGAATATGAATAGAAATAATGATGATAATAATAACAATGATGATATCAGTCAGATTGATAGATACACAAATATCAATTTTGATAACAAACATAATGATATTATTACTAATAATATTGATAATATGATATATTATAACAACGATAAAAATATCAATAATAATGATAATAACAATGATTATAATAGTAATAAAATTTACAACGAACACTGAAAAATAGAAAAAGAAGGGAGAAATTAATAAAAAGATTCTGTATTCCTCGGCCAATGCGCCTTTTTCGAGCTGAAATTTCATGACATTTCCTAGTCTCCAATATCTTTTCGTTTGAAGCCCTGGTAGATAATTGGTATAAAGCTAGCGTGTAGCGTTTCAAGATACTGCCTTTAACCTTCTTTCCTATAAGTCCGGTGAATATAGGGTTTGACCCCCAAACAATTGCAAACAAATATCTTGCGGTATTGTTTGACAACAGGAGCAACTTACTTAAACTCTAAGAAAATCCGACCCCCGGAAAGTGGTTATTTTCGAAATGGCATGCGAGATGGCCGCCAATACCTTTGAATAGCCATAAGTCATGGTATATCCATCTTTAAAATATGAATTGGTGTCTACACCTAAAGTTTAGGGATACGAGTAATCCATTCATTACACTAACGATGGGTTATGGCCAACGGGACACTTGTAAATCCAAGATGGCGTCCATAATGGTCGCCAATCTCTTAAATAACTGAAAGTGAGTTACTGTTTACAGTGAAGCAGTATTTAGCAATAGTAAAGTAAATGTTGGATATCAGAATATTCACCAGTACGCTTTGAACTATTTCTCTCCGACTCCTAAAAGGTGTGAATGCTGTGGCGGAATCCAGCATGTCCAACAAGATTGCTTCTATGTCCATTGGCGGAGGTTCTTCGTGGTCTCTCAATAACGCCGTTGCAAATGCCCATGATGCAGGTGTTGTTGTTGTTGCAGCAGCCGGTAACAGCTACGCCGATGCCTGCAATTACTCCCCGGCTTCTGCTCCGGATGTAAGTCATATCATTTCTTTTATAGATCTGCAGTGCTTGATTTTGCATTATTGTCTAATAACCTAAATAGTAAATTTAGAACAAAGGTTTCAACTGAATGTACAAAGATGCTCATGTCTGCGCACTCATTCGGTTAAGATGCAGTTCTTGATTTTTCTAGAGAGAAAGATAATATTTCGATGCTTGTGCAAAAAATTGCCGAAATTGGACCTTTTCTCATTTTTCTTTAAACCCTTTTTTTTTCTCCGCACGAATACTTATGTATTGCCATACTAGAGGCGTCAAGTTTGCGTTCGTCAATTATGTTGTATGCCTGTCACCAGGATCATGCAATAGACCAGTTTATTAATAAATCTCAAATTTATGGATGCTTTTTTCTTCTCCGGAACCTAGTGGCGAATTATTCCTGGAACATGTTATTAATGAATGAGTCCGCAAACAAATTGAGTGTTGTTATGTCTGGTCAGTCTTGGGCAGGCTTTCAAGTTCTCAAGAACGACTTTTTTTGAAGTATGCATAAAATGTGAATATTATAGTTAGCCTATCTATTAAAGCATGTGCCCAGACATAGGCGCTCAAGCAAATTGGCCATGATCCATTACTTTGATATTTCATAATTATCAAGTTAACAAATGTTTGTTCGTTAGCAGTACCTCTTTTCAGTTATTTACGTCAGTTGCTCTGATTTATGTTGTAGTAATGTCCTCGTTGATGCATATAATTTAAAATGTTTCTTTTTTGTACTTTTTTGTTGTTGTTTATATCAATTTCATAAAAAATGGTGAAACAACTAACTATCTATAAATATACGAATAATAAAGAAACCTATTCTGTAATCCATCGACAGGCTATCACGGTTGGTGCGACCGGGAGTACCGACTCAAGACCACTTTTCTCAAACTACGGCTCATGCGTGGACATCTTCGCCCCTGGCGTCGGCATTAACAGCGCTCAATATGGTACATCGAGCAGCTACACACAAATGAGTGGTACCAGCATGGCATGCCCTCACGTTGCGGGTGAGGTTTTTTTTTTGGTTAATAACAGTAATTGTAAATAGTTATAAATTACTAGTAATAATTAGTAGTAAAAATAGTTCCTAGTAGGCTAATTACTAGTAGTAATATTCATTACTACGTCTGCACTTTAAAACCACCTGATAGCATTGGCCTATTAATGATCGAATACAAGATAATCAATGACACTGACAAAGATTGACGATATGGCCTCATTTCTGGCCCGTCACCATCATGATCATGATCTATAATTGAGTATCATATTACATGTAGACCATACATGTAATATTCGGTAGTCAGAGTGTACGGCTGCCGGTTTACGACTATTGAAATGTTTCCTTATAATGATTCTTATTCATCCATGTCTTAAAATATTACTTGATTTTGGAAATACCGATTTCTAATCTGGGTGTGTGTCTCCTCCCTTCTTTAAAAAAAAATAAATAAACAGGCGCCGCCGCCGTCGTTCTCGGAAATTCTCCCAGTCTCTCTCCGTCCGGAGTGGCAGATGCGTTGGTCAACGGTGCTACCTCGAACGCAATCTCTAACCCTGGTACAGGAAGTCCAAACCTTTTGCTGTACGTCGATTAGACACTTCAGTTAAATGTTCCATCTCTTTAAACTAACTCGTCTTTGTGCTTAATCCAAAACGACCTCATTCTATTCTGTTCAACTCTTAGTTGACCGGTCCGGGGGGGGGGGGGGGGGAGCGGGGGGTCCCCAAAATAATCGACATACTAATACTTGGTACAGTCCTTTGGTAGACCTCGGCATGAAAGTGATCGTCAGAGCTAAACAATAAGCCTCTTTTTTTAGGCGTGGGGATTAGTGTTTAACCCGAAAATGACACATTATGGGGATATCCCGTGTACAAACAGTGATAGGTGATGATAAGATTGCTCTGTAGCAGAACGATATGGTAATCTATATTTTGGGAAGTGAATAACTTTCGAGGCACCGGTGTATAAGGAGATGATGGACCAATGAGAATTAAAAAAAAGCATTAATCACAATCATGTATTTGAGTCCATACTTTTGTTGTTGTTTAGTTTATGGCAATGAAGTTAACTAAAGAGAATTGACAGAAGAAACGAAGAAAGTATAGAGCGAGAGAATATATTGGCCCTTTCTCATTTACCCAAAATGGTAAATAGGTAGTGAGGGGAAAAAGAAAAGGGAAAGGTGAAGAAAAAGTAAATGAAGGATAAAAGAGAGGAAAGAAGGGAAGAAAAAGAGGCCAAGAAATATCTAGAAAGGAGATGAAGAGGAAAGAAAATGGAATTAGGGAAGCGAAAGGGGGATAGGAGATGAATGAGATTAGGGATGAAGAGGAAAGCGTTAGAAATGAAATCGAGGGGATGGAGAATATCCCTGCTGGAAAGAACACACTCATTCACACTCATTCACACTGTGAATCACACTGAATCACAGTGGGCTCCACAATGTTAAATTGGGGCGTTTTCACACTGTGGTCGATTCGTTTCACACTGTGGTTCACAGTGTGGATAACCGGAAAAGGAAAGAACACACTCATTTACACTCATTCACAGTGTGAATCAAACTGTGTTTCACACTGTGAATCACAGTGTGCTCCACAATGTTAAATTGGGGGCGTTTTAACATTGTGGTCGATTCGTTTCACACTGTGGTTCACAGTGTGGATAACTGGAAAAGGAAATAACACACTCATTCACACTCATTCACAGTGTGAATCACACTGTGTTTCACACTGTGTTCACAGTGTGAACTGTGATTTCACACTGTGATTTACACTGTGAATGAGTGTGAATGAGTGTGTTCTTTCCAGCAGGGATTAGGAAGGAGGGGGAGGGAAATAAAGGAAAGATAGATGTGAAATACGAGGAACAATGCCGCCCCAGTAAAATTATTATAGAAAAGTTTCATATCCAGGGGGGTGTTTCACAAAGATTCTAAGTTGAACTTATCTCTAAGTTGGACTTAAAAATTATGGAAAGCCGTTAGCATCTTTGAAAATATTTTGCAAAAGTTATTTTAAAAAGGCATAAAATGTTGATTCAAATCATTCATATTTTCTATCATCAAGGAGATTTCATGTTCTTGATGTGGAATTATAAAAAAGTCTAAAATACTAGAATTTCTGCTTTTGAATATATTTCATTTTAAGGCTCCAATGGCTGTCCATAATTTTTGAGTCCAACTTAGTGTTAAGTTCTACTTAGGATCTTTGTGAAAAACCCCCAGGACTTAGACACCACTCGATCACAACATGACCTAGCTCGCAAAACTAATACAAGTCATAATCTTAAGTTACCGAGGGCGTCGTGAATTTTTTTTAAAAGGCACAAATAGGGACATCCACTAAAAAGAGTAATCGTTATTTCCTCCGTGTCCCCGATTTAAAGTCTTTAAATGTATGTTCATATCTTATGACGATTACTGCAATATCTACCAATGTCGGATCGCAGTCGAATCGTATATTGTGCGGTGTTTTATAAAGGTACAATTAAAAATCTAGCGACGCCCCTTAATAGATAGATATATATAGAGACGGATATATAGATAGAAGTACATAGAAAGAGAGAAATGGAAAGAGAAATGGAAAAGTAACATCCGACGTAGCATTCTATTTTTACTCAGCACAAATTGTTATCTTGTTTGTGACTTACTAGACATCTTCGCCCCACCAGAATCAATGTCATCGTCATTATCATCATCAACAAGAACACCACTTACAAAGTGAACGTTCTGCCTACGAAACTATGTCAGGTACTCAAAGGAAAGGACTCATAACATTATTATATAAAGAAAGGAGACCGTTTAAGCCTAAAAACTGGAGGCCTATAACACTCCTGAGCTGTGATTACAAAGTCGTAGCAGTTTTTGTTAGCACGTAGGTTACAACAAGTTATTAAACAAACTATTGACCGAAACCAAACTGGGTATGTTAGAGATCGTTTGCGACTCACAATGTTCGATTAGCAAAAGACATTATTGCATATAATTATGTTGTAGAAAAAATTGAAATGGAGCGATTATGATGGTAGATTTTTACCGGTAGCATTTGATGTTGTTGATATTCTATTTGTTAATACTTTTTGTAGAAAAATTGAACTTGGACCGCCTTTCCGAAAGTTGTTCGAAATTCTTGAAGGTAGTGTATCCCTTTTGCAGCCAACAACAAATTCTGTATAACTTTGCAGGAATTACGAATATGACACGTATGTCCTATCTGTGAAATTTAAACGTTAGCAGTGTCCTAGTTTTCAAATTATGCAAGGAAACCCATTTACTTTTTAAACTTAACTGTTAGACACCATTGAGTGAGTGGCTGACTTCTTTTTTTTCTTTGGTAATAACATACTGTACATAAAATGAGCTTTAAATGAAATGGTGCATGAGCATTTTACCATATCAATAACCCAGTTCTGGTAATGGCCACAATCAAGCTGATTGAATCTTTGCGTAGCACAAAACGTACGACCAATCGGTACACGGGTGTGAAAATCAGACTATTTAATCAAACGAGCGCGCTCGCTAAATTGTAATTGTAACGGTTGTTGTTATTTTATCACTAAAAGACATTGTCAAGACCTTCTGTTTAAATTTTAAATAGTATTATCTTTCAAATGCCATTTGAATCTAACCTTTTAATTTGCTTCGCCTACAAATGGGACATACTACCTTAGTACCGTTAATCTATTTGCTTGCTCTTGGTACTGTATTTACCTGGCTAACGACAGATTTGATCCTGATTTATAATGATACGGCCAAGCGTACCCTAACAAAAACGCCAATCGACACCGAATTATGTATATGTGAGATCTATGATCTTAAAAGAAATAAAACATACAATACATTGATACAAGAATAACAGCATTTAAACAAAATAAATGGATGAATAGCATTTTACAAGGGGGTGGTGTTGCACTGATGAAATCTGTGACTCTATACTTATATAGATTTCGTAAACTATACAGTCTTGCACAGGCGTGTCTCCGCAACGTTTCTATGATGAGTGTCTAAACGACGTGTCTATAAAATTTGGCTATGATGAGTGGATACAAGGAGTTTATATGATGAGTGGATACGACGAGTCTCTGACGAGTGTCGTGTGAGGTGGCTACGATCACTGGAAACAGTGGCTAAGAGGTGTAACTTGTAGGAGTGGCTTATGGTGGCTCTGAAGGGACATCGCGAATAAACGAAATCGCGAATTATTCACGACGAAATTGGCGACGAAATTCACGATATCGTCAATTTCGTCGTGAATAATTGGCGATGAAATTCACGACGTCGTCAATTTCGTCGTGAATAATTCGCGATTTCGTCTATTCGCGATGTCCCTTTAGGGCCACCATAGTGGCTACACAAGCCTTGCTAAGAAGAGCGGTAATACGAGCCCAGGTCGTCCCTAATGAGGAGGGTTACATTCAAACATACTTAAAGATATTCCCTATACACATATTAATAAACCAATTCATAAGGTCCTAATTGTTCCGGATACATGTTACAAATAAAGTTATATGAAAATGAGAATTCTTCTCAAACTGTTATAATCATTGCACTGTTTAAATGTGCAATATGAACAAAATTAATTAATTTACATCATGTAAGAGTTTGCCTAAAATCACATGTCAATCTCACTGCTGACTCTCACCAAAATAATCAAATTGTATTCTGTATTTGATCATAATTTATGCTCAAAATGTATATAAATTGGCACACCTTTCTTTGTGAATAAGGTTTAATATGTATTTACCTTATAATATATAAAAGGGGATCCTCAGTCAACACCTAGGTTATTTCCTTGGTAAAAGTCAAAGAAAGTATATGGTAGACTTCCCCGAAATAACAAGTAATACAGGAATATTTTCTATATATCTTCTTAGATTATGAAAATTAAAACATTTGAAATATCCTCTATTATATCATGCATCAACAATTTATTGGCTTTTGATTGGTTGAGAGCTCGTCACGTGACCAGAAATATTTCATCTATTTTAAGGTTGCTCTGAAAAAGTACTATATGAGAGTACTATTTGGGAGTTGAACGAAAATTGTGAATTTTTGTTTTGAATTGATTTTTAAAAAAAATTCTTAATTTAATAAAATTAAATAATTTTAAATCTTTTTTGATAAAAATTTATAATTTTTGTTTATTCTAAAAAAAAAAAATTCTTTCCCCAAAATAAGATATAAACAAAATATACCATGCCTTCTTTTCGAGATACTGGTTCGGTGACTCAAAAATTACCTTTTAGTACGGGGCTGCGCCCCAGAGCAAATAATAATATTGGAGTCACCTCTTGCGCATAGGTTTAACCAGAACCTCTCAAGACAGTGTATATTTGTATACTATGCATCTTCAAACTTGAATTCTTGCTGAAATAATTAAATTTGTTTCCATTTGTGATATTTTGTTGCTATATTAAAAAATTTATACTGAGTCAATGCATACCTAACTTCCATAGTGCATGGAATGGTTTTCATGATATGCAAGTCCACATATTTTGCTTTAAACTGACTATACGTACACTTTATGGAAAATGAAATTAAGTTCCCAAATTTAATCCCCCCAAAAGAGAGTTTGAACTTACAGTACTCTTGATGTGAGCGAACTAAAGGGCAAGTCCACTCCCAAAATAACTTTCTTTCAATAGAAGCAGAAAAAACAGACAAACCAATCAAAAAAAGTTTGAGCAAAATCGGTTAACTAATAAGAAAGTTTTAAATTTGTAATGACATGAAAAACTTTGAAAATCACAAGACAAATGTGCAACACACTCAGGAGTCTGTGACGTCATTGCCTCACTATTTACTAATTGTTTTCTTTATATTGATAATACGAATTTCCTATTTTACCCGAGTAAGAATCTTATTTCTTCACGCCAGCATCCAAGTTAGATTGATAATAATATGTTTTTACGTGGATGCACTAATATAAAGTAATTTCTTAAAGTAATTTAATAAAATATGTGAATTTTGATAAAATACATATATAAAAATCAATATTTATGAATATACAATATTC